CAATTGTCCGTATCTTGCTTCAAAGACAAATATGTTTGTAAATAAAGGTTATTTTTTTAGGTTGACAATTTCTACTCGACTTATTGGGAAACTGTGGGTAATTTTTGACATGAGATCGAAACTGCATCAGACTTGCATTACAATTGTACTGTTTTAAAATAAAAATTTTAAGTTCTAACTAAAGCAGTCTTTAAAGTAGAGGACTTATAATTAAAACATAATAATAAACATTTATACCGTCGTCTTCGTCTTAGCATTACGACTAGAGGATTGGATCCCGGGATCCCGGAGCCCGGGATCCCAGTCATATCTTAGTCCCGAAATTTTCAGGATTAAATTTAATGAATCCTGGGATTTTTGGAATTGATATATTTTTTATATTAGTCCATAAAAATGTGCGTGAAACTAAACGCGCTTACTTTCATTTGACGTTTTGACGGCCATCTTGTTTACACAGCCAACTTCATTTATTTTTGCCAACGACCGGTACCGGATTATGTGTAAAATTGTGTAAAAAATCGGCTTCTGATTCAGCGCATTATTTATTCGCTTTTTGTATTAGATGGATAGCAGACCTTATCGGTCAAGATATTTCCAGTCTAATGTTGATATTTTGCAACAGCATCCGAGAAACCAACCGCTGATCACTTCCGATTGCTACGGCTTTGATAATATTTTGTGTGTTATTATTGTAATGACGCTAATTGGTACCAGTTTTAAGCCTGGCCTAGTGACCGATAAAATAATATTATTTTTGACGATAATTGAGTCAGAAGGTGATATTTAAGTACCAATATAAATGTAATTTAAAAATAATCAATTTATTAAATATCACCGTTAGAGAGGTATTAAATCGTTACATAATTTAATCTTCTATTATAAGAAATAATTACATTCAGCACACTGGCGAAAGATTCAGCGGTATAAGGAATCAAATGCAGTGTGGTAGTGTTCAGGTTTAGTGACTAAACTTTGAAACAAACAACAAAAGACAGAAAACTGGCGAGTACTGAGACACTGTCGACATTACCAGCATTTACCTTATGGTATGGTACCTTATGGTAAATGCTGGTAATGTCGACTGTCAGTTTTCTGTCTTTTGTTGTTTGTTTTAAAAGTTAGTCATAATTTTCAAATAATTCTGCTTTGTTTATATAAATAATCAATTTTCTCTAATTTTTTCCGATATTTTAATAGTTATAATTCTGCTATTCGGGCGGAGACAAATACAAATAATTAGAGCTCGTTTAAATAAACCCTTCTTGAGCCATAATAAGTGGTGAAACAAACACGCCTTTGTTTTTATATAAGTATATAGATTTAGATACATACTTTTAGGCAAATAATATGAACGATAGGAACGATAGTAAATTATAAGCTTGTATTAAAACACCCGTAAAAAGCCTATCTTCGTAAGGTTGCAGCCAAAAAGTAAGTATTGAGAAATCCCTTAAAAACCGAACCTTTTCAAACTCGTAGGTAGTATATTTTTCAATTAATGTAAATTTTACAATTTTTATCTCTAATGTAACGAAATGAGAGGCAGATGAGGGAAAGAAGAAAACATAGGTACAACTTTTTTTTAATGTCTAAATGATATCCTACTCATAAATTTAACATCACTCCCCTAAAAGTTATTTTGTCTTTAATATGTAGGTAAGCATACTTACATAAAGCGATTTTAAGCATTTCATTCTAATCACGTCTCGCTTACAGCCCTCAGCTTTAATTTAATATTTCTGTGTAAACATTTTGTTGGCTTAAACAATATATCGTGGGATGAAGAGAGGCTCCATGGAGTTTATTCGACATGTTTATTTTCACAATTCACAAACATAGACCCAGAGTAACAACAATGAAAGCTTAAAGGATGACTCACGTTAGACCGTGTCGATTGTAGGCCGTAGCAGGGTCAACTAATCTATACTAATATCATAAATCTGAAGAGTTTGTTTGTTTGGTTGAACACGATAATCTCAGGAACTACTGATTCAAATTGAAAAATTCAGAATAAAACTTTTTGACTCACTATAACCTTTTTCCTCAAATTAATCACATTCGCCGATAGTTAGCCGACACGAAGTTCGCCGGGTCAGCTAATATGACATTATATTTAAGGACACACTAGCTATACCGCGCTACCACCCAGTGATGGCCGAGCAGCGGACAACGCTTGAAAACAGATCGGTCCAGCCTCGGCTCGGCCACAGCCCGTTAGACGTAGAATACCATTGGAACCATTACATAAATGCAGCGCCGCCAAGCTGGTACCGACTCGACACGGTCTAGCGTGTGTCATCCATATTACGATCCAGAAGCAGCGCTGCGTTTGCGTAGTGAGGCGTAGGCCTAGTCCACTACGCAGCGTAGCGGAACTTAACAACGTGCAGAAAGATGTCCCATTATTCTCTCTTTCTGTCTCTCTCTCTAGCAGTCAACTGTCGCAATCGAATGTTTTTGTGGGAGATTATAATACAACCTCAGTATCATGGGATCGTTAATTAGAGATATTATAACGAGCACTTCCGGAGATATTATGAAAACCGCTAGTCCAGGCTGTTATCATAAAATTGCAGTGGCTTAATGAATGATTTAGCTATAAATCTAATCGTTTTAAATGTTATGATATGAAGGAAGGTAGTAATTATTTGTGAAATTTTCACGTATATTAGAAACCACCAAAAAGCGTTTGTGTTGCATATCACACGCTGCTGCAGGGTCGAATTTCGTTTAATTATCAGCACGGTAACACCTTAACCTTCACCCTATAAATTACCCTGTGAAGCTCTGAAAATCTTAATCTGAACAGAAACACAATACAATGGCCCGCAAAAAAATTTGGTACATTTTTCACCATATCAATTTGTAAATTTTGCGCGGAAGATTTACATACAATAATTGCTGATCACACAAATAAGTACTCGTAGAAAATATACTTTAAAGAAATGCACACTGTGTGGAAGTTTCCCTCATTACATCAACATCTGAACCTCTGAATGAATCTGGTGGTAGATAGTACCTACCAGTGTAGTAAATATCCAGTGTTGGTGTAATATCACAATATTTCAGTGATGCACCCTCGTCGCTCTACCACCCCCTATAACTTCACACATATTCACTGTTGGTGTAATATCACAATATTTCAGTGATGCACCCTCGTCGCTCTACCACCCCCTAGAACTTCACACATATTCACTGTTGGTGTAATATAACAATATTTCAGTGATGCACCCTCGTCGCTCTACCACCCCCTATAACTTCACACATATTCAGTGTTGGTGTAATATCACAATATTTCAGTGATGCACCCTCGTCGCTCTACCACCCCCTATAACTTCACACATATTCAGTGTTGGTGTAGTATCACAATATTTCAGTGATGCACCCTCGTCGCTCTACCACCCCCTATAACTTCACACATATTCAGTGTTGGTGTAATATCACAATATTTCAGTGATGCACCCTTATCGCTCTACCACCTCCTATAACTTCACACATATTCACTGTTGTTGTAGTATCACAATATTTCAGTGATGCACCCTCGTCGCTCTACCACCCCCTATAACTTCACACATATTCAGTGTTGGTGTAATATCACAATATTTCAGTGATGCACCCTCGTCGCTCTACCACCCCCTATAACTTCACACATATTCAGTGTTGGTGTAATATCACAATATTTCAGTGATGCACCCTCGTCGCTCTACCACCCCCTATAACTTCACACATATTCAGTGTTGGTGTAATATCACAATATTTCAGTGATGCACCCTCGTCGCTCTCTCTCCTGCCGTAAGGAACTTCGTCGCGCCTGCGCACGTCTCATTTAATGGTTTTATTCCACGCATTTTTTCTTACGGTTTTACTATCACATTTTTTTCAGTTCGGTCGCGCAGCAAAATCCCTATCCCCTCCAAGCCTGCCGTAAGGAACTTCGTCGCGCCTGCGCACGTCTCATTTAACGGTTTTATTCCACGCATTTTTTCTTACGATTTTACTATCACATTTTTTTCAGTTCGGTCGCGCAGCAAAATCCCTATCCCCTCCAAGCCTGCCGTAAGGAACTTTCGTTCCAAAAATGCAACTAAAACTTACGATTTAAGTACATACAGTCAGTTTTAATTATTGTTAACGTTTTTGTAGTCAACTCGATCAAACTGTAATACATACACATATACATAAGTATGCTTGCTTATTTATGTGATTTATTTTATTTGTCAAGATTTTTGAAAATGGGGTCGCATTGTTGGCTTTCGCACCCGGGCGCCGCATATGGTTAAGACGCCCCTATTTCCAACACTCGCATCAATCAAACCAAAGTAAGAAATGAAAGACTTGCGTTATGGGATACTAAGGTAATGGATAGAATACATGTACTTATACATATATAAGTAAATTTAGTGTAGAAATACATAAACATCCATGACTTATGTACAAATGTTCGAATTCACCATGCTGACATTTGCCCGAACCTCGGAATAGGTGACACCTTGAAACCCGACGTACATACCACTCGTCCACGGAGGTCATCAAACCTCTATTAACAATGAAGGTTTAAACGAAATAGTAGATCGTTGTTGTCACTGTTTAGGTACCCACTGATCCCTAAACAGATATCCGCAGTGTACTGACCTCGAATGGACGATATGTATCACGAACGAATACGAATTTGGATGGTTTTAGCGATCAGTACCTACGATTTATTGCGGAGATTAACAACTTTCCCAATAACTGTACATTGGATGTGTAACCTAAAAATTATCTCGACCTTCTCTGTTCTCGTAAGCCTTTAATCCACACTGGGTTCACAATACGTTGAGTATTTGGCTATATACATTTTTCCTATGTCTATTTATAGCAATCGTAACAGTACACAGATTAAACTAATAATCTACTGACCAAATTTTAATAATTTTTTTATGTTCCGTATTCGATCCGATCAAAGATCGATTACATATGCTATTTGTTTTTTAAAACGAATTCAAACAGTACCTACTTTGGTCTGTGTTACATTGAAAATATTGTTTGCAGTTGTCTGCGAGCACGGATGCAAGTGGCGCAGTGGATGCAGTGGCGAGGCGATATCGTCTTGAAAACGGCAACTCACTTGGGGAGAAGGATGAGGTGAGATTTTTTTGTTTCCTCCAATGCTTTACCCAGATTAAAGGATATATCTATATATGTATCATATGGATATCTGAATAAAATCCACTTGTTCAGGATGCCTATAACCTTAAGAGAATTTAAAATTACTTCAGAAACTAACCTTATGAAAAGGATGATGCAATGTGAAATACGATCAAACACCGTAACTATGAATAATTGAAAAGGCTCTGTCGTAGTTATACGCCGAAGTGAAGCGAATCAAACGCAAAAGTTCGCCCTTAGTATTAGGTACTATAATGATTCTGACATTTCAGCGAACTTAGATCGATTGAAAGGATATCATCATCATCATCAGCCTCTCTGTCCATTTCTTAACATAGGCCTCTCCCATCATTTTCACAGAGCTCGGTCTTGGGCTTTGGGCATTCAGTTATAGCCTACGTGTCCCTTAATATCATCCACCAAACGTTTTGGAGACCGCCCTCGTGGTCTTTTACTTCTCCATGGGCTCCACTCGAGAACTCGTATTGCGATCGTCCTTCCTGCATTCGAGCCACGTGACCCGCCCAACTAAACTTCCGTCCGGCAATTAATTGGACAACATCTCTCACCCCCGTTTTCCGCTAGCTGAGGCCATAAAAATATTCAAGTGGTTAAAATATTCTCATGTAAAAATTTCAAGTTCCGATATGCCACCACTATTCTACTCTGCTTATTGTAGTTGCAGTAATCGTCCTTTTTGGGATTTTCACTTATTTACAAAAATGACATCCCAAGGAGATCTGTACTTAAAAAAAATAGTTTTAAAGTTTTTCTTCTTAAAAACATGTTTTTTATTCAACATGAAACGAAAATGTTACTTATGCTAAAAAGATCTGCAGCATTAAGCATGTGCTAGAATATGATGGAGTACTTGCTACGTTTACTGTATATTCATTTAGCATATAACTTTTTTAAGCCAAACGCAGTACTCACCACTTCTGCATTTGAATGTAGAGAAAATAACAAAGAGCTACTCTGGCAACGCTAAAACTAAACGCATTATTCGTCATTAGTGCATTTGCGTATTGGGAAAATAACAAAATGATGGCTAATTACATACTGTATGCCCGCAAGCCCAGAAAGTTGATAAAAATGCAGAGCAATTTATCCAAATAAGGCAATAAGATAAAGAAAAAAATTATGTTTAAGGTTAAACTTTAAAAGTTATTTATCAGAGATATGTTTATCGCGTTTATCTCCAAACCGCCTGACTGCAAATACTGCGTTGAGAGAGACAGTATTATAATAAACATAATTTGAACAAACCTAATCTAAGTTACAATGCAAAGTTCGTAGTATAATTTTAAATAATAAAACCAGCCAGTTAGTTACACTTGCGAAAGTTTTCAGAACATCTGCCTTTCATATTGAATACCTCTGGGAATCGAATGGGATCATGGCAAGCGCACAAGGTATCTACTTACTTTGAAACAGCTGAAATTAATATTATGCAAATTTAAATAAATATTGAGTAAGAACATTAGTCAGTATGAGAGAAATAAAGACTGAATGTTTTAAAATGAACTTATCTGGATCTGTCATTAACAGCTGATTAGCAGAACTAATTACTCGTAAGACCAAATATATGCATTTAATTATAGGTAAGACGTAAGTTTTAAGTATTCTAGGTTTACACAGACTTGGGGTTGAGGTTACAGACAAACAAAGCAAGGAAAATAAAGGAAAGTTACTGGCCCATGAGTAACTTACCTACAAGATATTTCTAAAATTAAACTGGTTGTGAATAGAATTACAACATTCTATTATCATTCAGTCTAGAATAAAGATAAACAAAGTTAGTTTCAAAGTCGCTCCTTAAGTTTAAGACAAAGTCTAGCTTTAATCGTTTCGTAGTGAGTTTAATTACTATCAAGAGGAAAGTTAACTACCATTCTGTGACATCTCCAAGGACGTCCTATTAATTTAACAAAACAATTACAAACCGAACCGTCCAAAACCTACTAATTTAAATTTTGCATGTCCCTAGTTAAAGCTTAATCAAGGTATTGAAATCAAACTTTAAAAACTCCAAATACATTAATGGTTTTTATGTAAGGCCCCGCAGAATCACTTGCTAAATTCAGATATTTTTTTTATAAGACTACTTAGTTATTTTGTATTTAAATTACTTCTTACCTAAATTTCGCGAAACTAATTAGAAAAATTCTTCAAATTCCATTATTAAAGGGAATTCCATTATTAATGATTCCAAATACTAAGAAATGTATGTACCTACCTACATTTAAGTTTACAAAACACTAACGAGTAAAGGTGGAGCTAAACAAACAATGTGGCCTCGACCGGGTCACCATAATAATATTTGTTTTCTTTCGTGTTATTTATAAAAAGTCGATTGAGTAAAGCTTAATATTTAATTCATCGTTTCGATATTCACAGCGTCTAAGTAAGCGAGACTGTCACCATTCAAAAACAAATATTTTACGTTTATGACATACAAAATAAAAAAATACTTAAAAATTATGCAATCAAAACAATCTTACTTTTCACCGCGGAATACGCGTGTGATTTTAAATTATTCATCTCGTCTCATAGAAGAATATTCTGTCAAAAAGTAAAGTTAATAGAAGAATATATTCATCTGCCTTCTAAGTCAAAAGTCATTCTAAACTCCGTTGCCCTTTCTTGACCTTTAACAAGCTTAGCTAAAGTCCTAATCATAAAGCTTTAAATGTACGAAAGAGTTGTATTGGCACTGTTTTTTGAAGTGAAAACTTCTTTAGCACTGATTTGAAATTCGATGAAACGAAAAAGCAACAGTATTTGACACAAGTCATCCGTTTGTAACTCTCTGCAAGAGACAGATATTGGGGACGGTATTGGGGTCAACACCAAATGATTGGTCGTTCGATCCTTCGCTCGGTTATTTTTTTAACTGTCTTTTTTTCTTTTATTAAGTTATAATTTATTTTACGAAACAATTTAAGTATAGAATATTTTATTTAAATTCTATACTTAAATCTTACAATACCTGAATAGTTAAGTATTAAACGTTTGGTAGTTGCCTAAGTTGTTTATTAATACAGGCTTGGTTTTTATCAACAATCCTTATAAATAAAGATTTCGAAAAAAACCTACGATAAGAAAAACTTGACAAAAGGAAACAGTGTTGCCACCTTGGATTTTTTTGAGGCGCCAAGTCAAAGGTAAAATAAAGCCAGATTTCAAAAATTTGGATTTAATAAAATACACCAAAATCCGCTAAATTACATCACTGATAACAAAAAACCCTTATTTAAATAAAAAAACCAGTGAATATGTATGAGATGCTACAGAAATAACTGTATCCCGCAGTCGTTCTAAATTAGTAAAATTTTGTTATTTAAAAAAATGCCAATATTGTTTTTACTAACTTAAAACTTTTCCGAGTGTTAGTAGTACTAGAGAATGAAATAAAACCAGGTAAATATGTATTTACATTCATTATTTATAATGAAAAAATAAATCTTAAACAAAATGTGAAAATTAAAATTCAATATTTTTAAATGTTACATCTTCTATAACTTCATCGCCGTTCACAGACGACGACGCTTCTGTCAATGAAGCCGATGTCGAAGCTGAAGATGTTTGGTTGTGGTTGTAGTGGATTTTTGAAAGAGTATTTTGTGTTTTTAAATGATATCTTTTGATTTCCGGATAGAATTTGCATTTTTTGTTTGTACTTTTTTGTTTCAGTATGTCTTCACAAATTTACTAAAAAACAAACGCCTTCGCATCAACACCTGCTAAAGGTTTAAGCCAGGTTTGGAATTCGTCGAGTGATTTCCATTCTTTTCTATACTTCTTAATTACATATAATTCTTTTTCTTGAATAGAATTTCTATAAAAAACATGTAATTGAATACTCTAAACATACAGCTTCAGGAGTTCACACACTGTTACAAACGTTTCTATGAAATCAAACTTTTACACTTTTTAACAACACAATGAACGCGAACCTAATACCTGAAACAGAATGAATGATTGAAGGAAGCCCTTAACAGACAAACGCCTGTAGGAATTCCCCTGTAACCATCAGAGTAACCATAGAACATTATGAAATTTCGGAAAGTTGGGGGATTTCCCTCTTAAAAATATGTAGCTAGATTTCATGTTAAAAAACCACTAAAACACTAAAAAAATATACCCGCTAGATAATGAAAATATACCACTAGAAGCCGTGAAAAAGCACCAGTTCTGGTGGAAAAACCACCAAGGTGGCAACACTGAAAGGAAATAAAATAAAAATAGCTGGTAACCAATAAAGCCGCGGGCGGCTGAATTACTTTTACGTGTTCACATTTTTGTAGGTTTCACTTCTATCGCATGTGGTTTTTTTTAGTGTGATATTTATTTTAAATATATATTTTGTGAGGAGCTCAATGGCGCAGGTGGTTAGCGCGTTCGACTGCGATCGTTGAAGTTAAGCAACTGTCGCAGTGGTCGGTTATTGGATGGCTGACAAAAATTTACTATCTCGAGCTCCTCCGTTGGTCCCGGCTGCATCTGCAGCCGTTAGCACCCACCAATCCGCACTGGACCCGCGTGGCGGATCATCGCCCAATCTCCCTATTCCATCCATAGGGAAGGCCTGTGCCCCAGCAATGGGGACATTAATAGGCTGATGATGATAATGATATATTTTGTATAGTTAAATTATTTTAATACTAATTAGACTTGAGACTGCGTCATTCATATTCTACCAAACAGGCAAAAACTTTTAGAAGCTCATCCTTATTACGAATATGATCTATCTCATTATTTAACGTTTCCAATTTAAATTGAAGTACGTAAATAACGATAATTATGTTCAAATGAGTGAACATATTTAGAATAAGAAATATTATGCTTGGAAAAATGACTTTGATCTTCCAAGGTATCCTTGGAATCCTTGTACCTTTCCCACATATTCACATGACAAACGAAAACAGATAATTTCGTTACGCTACGTTTTTAGAGGCTATTTATAATTATTAAATAAATTAGGATTTTTATTTTTTTAGATGAGTGCTACAATATTTTTTGTGGCAAACTATCTCAACTGTTGTTCTTAAAACTTTGCTTTTAACTTTAAAAAAATATTCCGAATCCAAGAGTTTTGCATTAATTAAGTTTCAATTTTGCAGTGGTATCTCATAATTTACATTCTCATCTAGATAACTTTGAACAGCCATTTGCAATGTTTTATGCATCCCTAATCTTGCTCCCAGTAAAGTTTTCTGATGTCGTCAGCTGTTGCCAGAGAGAACTCCTCTAATTGAAAGACTTTTAAATAAAACTGTAACATCAACACTTAAAGGTACGGCTACATTTTTCATTAAATTTAGGCAATTTCGAATGTCCTTGAGAGCAACGACTGTTTTCAGAGGTTATAATACTTTATTATATGTAAAAAGGAGCTCGATGGCGCAGGTGGTTAGCACGTTCGGCTTGCGATCGTGGAAGTTAAGCCAGTTAAGTGCCTTTCGCAATGGCCGGTCAATGGATGGGTGACTAAAAACTTGTAATCTCGAGTTCTTCCGTACTTCGGAAGGCCCGTGTAGCCGCTGGTCCTGGCTGCTTCTGCTGCAGTCGTTAGAACTCCCCAAGCCAAACTAGGCCCGCGTGGTGAGTCATTGTTCAATCTCCCTATTCCATTCATAGAGAAGGACTTTGGAACGACTGTCTTCCAGCAGTGAGGACAATAGTAGGCTGTTGATGATAATGATATGAAAAGTAAAGTCAAATACTTTCTACCATTTTTTTGGTTTTTATTTTACGTAACAGCAGAGTAGCTATTTCTTAATCAAAAAAAGAAAAATTAACATTTGGTGTGGGTGCCGTGCATGTCTGATAGATCTGAGTTGTCATTCGCTTCTTGGATTGTTAGTGTTAACTTAAAATTAAATGCAAAAAAATAAAAATATAATAAATGTGTGTACTATATGTATATTATACACTTGAGTTCCTTCGAAAGCGAGCTGGCGTCTTTTTTATTGCGATGTAGATGTATGCATTACTTTGGGATTATAAATGTGAAATATAACTGTTTAATGGCAAATAAAGAAATTGAATTTGAAAATCTCATACCTATTACAAGATCTTTTGATTGACGCGTTGGGACGCTGTGTCTGTGCAACAATGTGCTTTGCCCTAACTTTATTCAAAACGTATAACCAAGTACGAACTGATAAATTACGTATTTTTAAAATACCTACTACAACAGTTTTTTCTTTTCAGTTATTCGGTCCACCGAGCGCTCCCGTATTGGAAAATCCTGAATTTCAAACAAGATGGTACTTTAAATACTTCCTCGGCAAAAGTAAGTGATTTTCTTATCATCTTCTTGTTATTATAATTTATAGTGATATACGTGAGTTTTTAGAGGAGCTCGATGAAGCGGATGCTGAGTACGTTCGGCTGCGATCGTTGAAGTTAAGCAACTTTCGTAGTGGTCGATCATTGCATGGGTGCCCACAAATATTTTATCTCGAGTTCCTCTGTGCTTCAGAGGACAAGTTAATTTTGTTGTTCCGTTGGTCCCGGCTGCATCTGCAGTGGTTAGCACCCGCCAATCTGCACTGGGCCCGCGTAGTGGGTCATGGCCCAATATCAGTATTCCATCTATAGGGAAGGCCTTTGCCCCAGCAGTGGGGACATTAATAGGCTGGTGATTATTATAGTGATAAGCAACATACTTTCTGTCAGACGATAAAGAAGCATGATACTGTAATTATCTGCCTTTTTATTTAAAACTAGTCGACCTCTCTTCTCTTCGGTGTAGATGAAAAAAACCATGCAATACAAATATCACTCAATAGATAACAATCGATTACCTATGTTTTATTATCTCTTTTACCAGATTTCCATATCTATGCAGAAAAAGGGAAAAGTTTGTTTGTTTTTAACACTTGAGACCATAAAGGACATTGTTCAGCGTCCATACATATTTAGCCTAAGAACCAACAATCATGAAATATTATTTTCTAGGTTTAAAATCGTAAGTAAATGACTGTAAAAACAAAGATTATTGACGGACACTTATGAGAACTTAAATTATTAGGAAAACTAATTTATTTTTGAGGTTATGTTTAATATTCAATGAAACATAGGTCAACCTATGAATTTAGTATGAACTCAGTATGAAGTGAATTAATATACAACTAATTCATTTTATTCGGTGCGATTTTAAATAATAACTATTAGGAAAAACTTGGTTAGGTAGGAATCATGAATAAAATAAAAACTGTATTTTTACGTCTTATTTATTGACTATTTTTCACATTATTATATCATATTGTTTATTGTATTTATTTGTATATCACATGTATATTGTGTAAATATGCAGCGTGAATGTGTATCAGGTGTTCTTGAATAATTTGGCAGTATGATCCTCTCAGGATGTTGTTGTTGTCAGGCACAGGTTCACTAGCACTTGGTAATAAGGGTTCTGCTCTTTGGTAACATCGATAGCATATTAGGTATCCGAAATAGTTAAATTAAAGGCAAAACACTTTTCGGTATATTATACTACTCTTTGGAATGCACGAATGGCACAGATTACAACGAATGCAAACTGCATGCACCACAACCACAGAGTAACAAGTTTTATGCCGGCCCTTCACTTGACAACAGTTTGTCCTTGTCATGCTTAATAAGGAATGAAAAGGACAGACTGATGTCATGTTTTAAAATAGCAAATACGAATAGCCAAGTGAAGTGCCGGCATTAGGAGGAAAGAGTGTTTTGTTTGCAGCGCTGCCATAGATTATACACATAAAATGGTATTTATTGTCTCAGATTATTTTTTAACTTTTTAATTTAGCTTACTTAACTGGAAGTGTCCGTCACAATCTAAATACTGATAATTATCGCAAAAAATATACTAAGAATTATCATAAATGCCAAATTGGTGTTGGTTCTTAGGCCAATTTTAACATTGTCCTTTATTTATAATTCCTAATTGTTGATAATATGTCCAATGAAAATTTCTTTTAATATCAAAAACTACTTTCTGCGATATAAAAAGAAAAGTTAGACATATTTAATGTCGCTGACTTTTTGTCGGTATCTCTATAACTTTTCTCTAGAACTCAATCACATATTCCTCATTGTTAAGGCAGCGTTCGTAAAAAACTTTTTTGTTTGATCGTTTTTTCTCCGACTTCCTTTGCATATCGAACTACCACGAAAAAGCCTTTTAATTTTCCTGGTTAATATATATGACACTCACAAATAACGTGGTTTTATATTGGTTAAAGAATTTTCAAAATCAGTTCAGTAGATCCAGAGATTACCACCCGTACAACGCCACAAACTCACAATTGACAAACTTTAGCCCGTATTATAGAAAGATAATCAGTGATTGATCTAGTCTTGAGCATAGTTAGAAAGGGATGTCGCTATATATAGCACATAGCGACATCCCTTTCTAACTGTACTCAAGTAAAGATCTACACTTACGTAGTTGTCAATCTGTAATACGGGCCTTAGAAACACACAAACTTTACCTTTATTTAATATAAGTATAGTTGAGTTTTGTTTAAATTTCACTTTCAATTTGTGTTTACCTCTAAGTTCCAGTGTTTTCAAAGAAGAGCAATATTTGCATTTGAAATTACGCTTTGAATTTACGAAATCCTATTAAAAATCTTTAATTTATATTTCAAGCCTTTTGATATTCCTACATAGTTTTGTGTATTGTAATAATAAAAGAGAACAAGAAATACATACCTCGCGAAATTTATCAGATGCTATCTTAGAGCGTTTACTAAATATATCTTAGTAAATGCTCTAAGGATGACATAGTAAGGAAATAAAAAAGGAGTAAGAAATTGCATTTAAACTAATTCTTAAATATTTACATTGTTCTTGTTTCTAATGAAGAATTTACACTGCGATAAAAATGCGATATAAAATAGTCACTAGATGATATAGTAAGGAAATATTAAAAGATGTAAGAAATTGCATTTAAACTAATTCTTAAATATTTATATTGTGCTTGTTTCTAATGAAGAATTTACACTGCGATAAAAATGCGGTATAAAATAGTCACTGTATCCAGTATACATTTAGCAAAGCCATCTTTTATTCAGAACATTCATAAGCAAACAGTCGCGCGCGTTTCCCACGTCATGAATTATTAATGATAAAAACACAAAATTAGGTGAAAAACGGTGTTATTCTTCGATAGTATACGTTAAGACATCCTTTAATACAATAGTGGTTTCATATGGAAAATAATTCAGGTTTCTCGTCATAAGATTCAATACTTAAAAATATACTAAAATTTTAATCTAAATTTCAATTTAGGTATCTACATAATGCTTTACTCATGCATGATGTATCTTCCAACACTCAGCGCAAAAGGGGGTGTCATAAGTTTCAAAAGTTTGTGTGTCTGTCTTTGGCATCGTAGCTTCTAAAGAATAGACCGGTTTTTTATGAACACCAATGTAAATAACTCGTCAATAAATAAATAATACTTATATTTATTCGAATAGTTGAACAAATCCTCTGCGAAAAAAATAATACGTTTGAAAATTGATTTCATTTAGAAAACTATTGGCAAAACGTAGCTTGTTCAATTCAGATAGGTACTTTTATTTCTATGGGACTTTCTGTTATATCCCCATAACGTTTATCATACCACGGAACTGGTTTCAATTATATTTTTCTATCTTAGATTGATTGAATTGTATTGCATTGTGAATAGAATTGATGTGTCTGTCTAAAAAGTATTCTAATACTTTTATATGACTTATTAAAAACTACTTTCAGAAACCAGTAAGTAAAGCGACCAAAATAAAAAAGAGAATTATTCGTAACAATTGCAATTTAAATAAGCTTCCATCGCAATTAACGAAGCGTGCAATTATTACAAGCGTTTCGTTATACAATTAATTGAATTACGACTGCGAATTCGTATTAAATTGAAATTTGTATGTTTTACAATTCAACGATGATAGCACCGTAAGTGGAAAAATATATGAAAGGGTAGGAACGCTTTCATGTTTTTTCCACGCCGAAAAGATCAAAGGGAAAAAGTATTTTAACATTTAATAGCATTAACTGTTTTTTATTGAGAAATGTAGATACATCTGTTTATTGATAAAACAGATTTTATATGGGAAAATGTAACATGCAATCAGTCAAAATATATGTCCATTTTCAAAGAAATCTTGATTATTCACAGCGTATTGATATTAATAATAAATATTTTTTCGTAAACACAATAAAGTAAATGTTAATAATAGGATGGCTGCGTCGGTCGTGTTACTCTATGGTGCAAATGAAAAAATAACTAAAATGGAAGTATCAGTCTGTAATTACAGTTAGTGGCCCCTGTGAAAAGCAATTGCTGCTGTACTAAAATAGTTTTTTGTTATTAATTTAATATAACATTTCTTTTCTTTTTGATATAAGTAGATGAAAAACAGAATATAAAACTCCTTCGTATAACAAGGTCAACATAGTATATGCACAAGTAGGTAAAGCCCTAAGATGCCTTACTTTATAAAATAAAAAGATTATACTTTTTGTTCATTCTTGTGATTTTATAAAGTGCGGTTGGATTTTTCATTTTCTCCGTAACTTCAATTTTATTTACTTACATATATAAAAATAAATTTCCTTAGTCTTAACTTGAAAACTCCTTAACCGATTTCATCCATCTCTTTTTTCAATGTCCTGATACTTTGTAGAATATTAGAAAATTTTAGTAAACGTTTAGTTTTCTTAAATTTTATAATATAGGTGTATCGGTATTTATTTTTTTACATTTTCATCGAAAGAATCAGCGTCTATCGTGTCTGCTTGTATAATAATAAATAATTATTCCCAGTCATTAGACTAATGGTAATGAACTTAACTATCTGTGATTGAACTTATTTCATATAGGTAAAGCTCTGAGTTTGAGGAGTGTGTACCAACAAGCACACAAACTCCCCAAAGAACAATTCGAAGTAGGGTAAAATAAACATCATTATAAAATCCTTTTCACGTATTAAATTTTGGGATACATTCACCATATTCCTTACACTGTTAATAACGATGTGTTAAACACAAACAGACGTTAATATTTATATAAACCGAAACGTAGCTAAAACACAAAGCATAATAAATATGAACTTCCTTTATAGACGAATCAGATGTTCACATTTTATGAACCGAATCACTGACTCGACACAAAGTGTCTACGGTCTTGATCCACACAGAAAGATGAATCGCAAAAGAAACCGACCCATCAAAAAATAAAGCAGAAAAAGACGCCCCTAATGATAAAATTATAACGATAAATCTGTTGATTCAACATTTTTATTC